GGGTTTCACCATGTTGGCCAGGCTGGTCTCAAACTCCTGACCTCATGATCCACCTGCCTCAGGCTCCTAAAGTGCTGGGATTACAGGCGTGAGCCACTGTGCCCCGTGGGTTCTAGGGTTCTACTGTAATGAGATTTGGGTGAAAGCATAAGGCAGAAGGGAGGATGAGGAGAGGTTGGCCCATGGATACAAAGTTAAACTTAGGAAGAAGAAATTGGGTATTCTGTTACACAGTAGGGCAATGATAGTTGACAGTAAAATATCGTGGCTGGGCACAGTGGCTCACACCTGTAATCCCAGCACTTTGGGAGGCCAAGGCAGGTGGATCACTTCAGATCAGGAGTTCAAAAGCAGCCTGGCCAACCTGGTCAAATCCCGTCTCTACTAAAAATACAAAAATTAGCTGCGTGTGGTGGCATGTACCTGTAATCCCAGCTACTCAGGAGGCTGAGGCAGGAGAATTGCTTGAACCCAGGAGGCAGAGGTTGCAATGAGCAGAGATCACGCCACTGCACTCCTGCCTGGGCAACAGGAGACTCTGTCACAAAATAAAAACAACAACAACAAAAAAAAAAACAACAAAAAACAGCTACCAGCGTGGAGGCTGAGCGGGCATGCCCTGCCTTGACTTGGAGTCCTGACTATCCCCAGATGAAGTGCCCTCGGTTCAGCAAGCTGCCAGGAGGCCACCGCAAGACCCAGTGCTCAGGTGCCATGGGCGGGGGTGGGGATGAGGGGCAAGCTCCAAGAACCCTGAGAGGAGCACACCTTACTCACAAGTACCCCAATTCCTTGGTGGGTGTTATCAGAAAGGAGAAAGATCCCCAGCCACAGCAGTTGCCACCCATGGACCCAAAGTTGCTGAAGCAGATGAGGAAGGCAGAGAAGGCTGAGAGGGAGTTCCGTAAGAAGTTCAAGGTAAGCCTCGGAGCTAAGCAGGAGTCCTGGCAGGGCTGGGACCAGGGCCCCACAAATCCCACACTCAGAAGACAAAGGCCTAAGGGCAGCAGCACCAGCAGAGGCTCTAATGTTTTGCACCCCAGTTTGAAGGGGAGATTGTGGTTCACACGAAGATGATGATCGACCCCAATGCCAAGACGCGTCGCGGGGGTGGCAAGCACCTTGGGATTCGGCGCGGGGAGATCCTGGAGGTGATCGAGTTCACGAGCAAGGATGAGATGCTGTGCCGGGATCCCAAGGGCAAGTGTGAGTGTACCTGGCCCCGCAGCCCCAGGAGGCCACCCCACCACCCTGGGCCCGAGAACCTACCCTGCCCGTTCTCTCCACAGATGGCTACGTGCCCAGAACAGCACTCCTGCCTCTGTGAGTACTGGCCCTGACTGTGTGTGTAGGGGTGCAAGTGCGGGAAATAAGGCATGATGCCCCTTGCTGACTTAACTATGCTTTGCCAGGGAGACGGAGGTGTACGATGATGTCGACTTCTTAGGTATGTAGACACTGGGTGGGCTGGAGGGACCCTGGTGATTCCTCTGGGGGCTGCTTACTATTGGGCTTCTGGGTAGAGAGGTCAATGGAAGTTACGTTTCCTCGGCAGACCCCCTGGAAAACCTACCACTCCCACTGGGACGGTAAGGCTTGTAGGCCTGGAGCCAGGACAGCCGGCCAGCTGTGTCATTCACCCAGGAGCTCTGGATCCTGGCGCAGAAGAGTCACAGAGCTGCCTGTGCTGTGCTGAGCCCCATAAAGCCCTGGTTTAAAACAGTCCTTGCTTCCTGTCTTTTATTTCCCTCCCGAATTGGCCACAGTGGAGTAAAGGCACAGGAACCCCCTGACCAAACACAAAAGGGGGTGTGTCTGGGGTCACCCTGCCATGGTCTCACCCCTCAGGGATGAAGGCGAGGAAAGAGCAAAGGGTGGCAAGAAGCTGGCAAGCAAGGGTGGCTCCCGGTGACTGGAACCCCGCGTGCTGCCAGCCAGGGTCAGAAGGGTCTCAGGTAAGACGTGCCCTTCCACAGCAGCAGCAACAAGGCCACCTCGCCTGCTGCACACGTGTGCTTGGCCTGGGTGGATCCTGAGGGTACTTCATGAGAGTCTGGGGTGGGGCCTATGCCCAATTCTGGCAGAGCCCAGGTATCGGATTTGGCCTGAGCCTCTGGCAGGATTGAACACGCATGGAAGCTGGCACACGGTTCAGTTTCAGCAGGAAAAACACAAACAGAGCCTGATTCAAGCATGGTCTGTGCCACAGGGAGTTAACCTCACAAAAGGGAGACTGGATGGCTTGGGAGGCTTTTTTTGATGGCGTCTCACTCTGCCACTTGGGCTGGAATGCAATGGTGCGATCTTGGCTCACTGCAACCTCCGCCTCCTGGATACAAGCGATGCTCCTGCCTCAGCCTCGAGTAGCTGGGATTACAGGTACACCCCCCCCCACACACACACACACCTGGCTAATATTTGCATTTTTAGTAGAGATGGGGTTTCACCATGTTGGCCTGGCTGATCTCAGCACTCCTGACCTCAGGTGATCTGCCCACCTCAGCCTCCCAAAGTGCTGGGATGACAGGCGTGAGCCACCATGCCAAGCCTTGTGAAGCTCTGAACAGCAAATGCCCCATTATCAGCCCAGGGATAACAGCCCACAGGAAGGCAGTTTCCAAGAAGAGTCTCCCTTTCTGAGGGCAGGCACTCACCTCTGAACCCTCAGACAAGCAAGAGTGGGGATGAGGTTCCTGGAGATCCCTGCTCCTCAGACTGGAAGCCCAAGTGGCTCTGGCTCCCCACACTTCAGGTGGTTGCCCACATACCACACACAAGCAGGCTGCTTTCAGGAACCAGTATTTATTATCAAAGTCATATTCGATGTCAACAAGATGCCACAACTACAAAAAAAATTGCGCACATTGCAATCTCAATGCAAACAGTCAAATGGAACCCCAGTCATTAAAAAAGTAATTCAAATTACCCCAAAAAGCAACTGAATTTTTTAAACATCTTTATACATCCAGCCAACAAATTAAAATGGTTAACAAGAAAAAATACAAATTCAGAGGTCTGGTTTCGATGTTTAAAAAAGGCAACTGCTTAAGCATTTCTATCGATTCGAACGTCAATCTCTCGGCCACTGAGCTTCATGCCATTCATCATCCGGCAGGCTCTCTCAGCCACCTCTGGTGACTCGAACTTAACCACACCACACCCCTTGGACTTCCCGTTCTCCATCTTGATGTCGGCATATAGCACGTGGCCTGCACAGGGAGGGAAGAAGAGACCACGTCAGGCAAACCCAGAGCTCAGCCTGTCTAGGCTCCACTCAGTCCCCATCACCTGGTGGATTCTGGTGGAGAGAGTCAAAAAGGAGAGGCCCCAGGAACCAGTGACTGTGGCCCTGGGCCCACACTGCCGTTCTTCTGCTAACAGAGCTTGCCCCTGCCCCAGGAAAAGCCTTCCTGAAAGTTCAAAAAAGAAGGCACCATGTCAAGTCAGCTTTAGAGGCAGAAGGCTGGCTATGTATATTTTAGAGGCTTCATTTTTGATACGCCACTGTCTCTGGTTACAAAGCCATCCACGATCCAATGGACATCTGTACTGTCCAAGTGTGAGCCAGCACATCACACATATTCATTTCAACATCTATTCAGCATCCAGAGATGTGTCAACACTGGAAACAGGCCAGGCCTACAGGGTCAGAGCACTAGAGGCTAAAGGTGCTAGGGCCACAAAGCCAGAAGCAGGAAGGAACTCAGCCTAGGAGAGGGCCCAGGGCAGGAAGGATGGAGGGGTCCTCAGGGGTAAGTTCTGAGAGCTTACACAAATTCACCAGAAAGATGACTTGCCAATAGGGGCTCGCACACAGCACTGCAGGGTGCCTGTAGCACTTGCTGCTCAGGTTCTGGGAGGGGAGGGGAGGGAGATGGAGGAGCAAGGGACCAGTCTTCAAGGGCTTGAGAGGCTAGACTTTCTCTTGAAGGCTAAGGGTCCCTCCAGGCATTGCAAAAGTGGGGGGCTGTGATCCCACTGGCCTTTTCAGAATATCTAGCTACAATGTGGAAACTCAGGAGTGGGGAAAGAAGCAGGTCATGACTCAAGGGCTTGCCCCAAAAACCACGGAGAAGCAGTAATGGTGGTGAAATCGGAGCAGCTGCTGAAACAGCAAGTGGGAGGACAGTGCGGAAGCAACTGCTCAGCCCTGGTTCAGGCCCCTCTGGCTAAAGAGAACAGAGGTGATGCATGAGGGGTGAGGGCTTACCCTGGAGGGCAGGGAAGGAAGACAACTTGCTTTCAGCCACAGAGGGAGCCTTCCAGAAGGGTTGTCTGCCATGAAACCACGTGACCTTAGCCTCACCCTCACATGAGTAGCTGTGCACCCAGAGCCCACAGCGCCTCCCCATGGCACCTGCTGGCGGGGCATTCTCTCTCAGGCCCTCAATCAGCTGTGCTGAGGGGGAACCAACCTCGTCTGGGATGTATTTGCCACCTAGAAGCCAGATGAGCTCAGAAAGAAGACTTTGCCTGACTCATCTGTGAAATGTGGACACTACTACCTTGTTTCAAAAGCCTCAACAAAGGAGGAAAAAAGTAATTAAGGATGAAATGATAACAGGTGAAAAATGTATGACACATCACAGGACACCCAACCTAACCTGAGCATTGGCATGGGCAGAACAATGGCAAGGCCATGAGTCCTGAGCTGATGGAGAGGGATGGGAGGGAGGCTTTGCTGCTGACTCGGCTGCATCACCAACAAGCGTGAGGCAAGGACCTAGAAAGCCGTTCCCAACACTTACCGCACTCGTTGAATTTGTCCTTTAGCATCTTCCATGTGAAATCGAATGGGAGCTGAGGGGGGAGAAGAAAAGGGAGACTGATGTGTGATTAAAGCAAATCCTAAGGCATGCCTCACAGCTAAATTTCTTACTACACCAAGAAGTGCTGCCCTTCAGACTGATGGGATCAGCAGGGACTAACAGGTCCACGTGGGACAAGGCTGTGAAGGGGCACAGCCAGCTCCTCCCTGGGGCTCTGCCAGGGAGAGCACCAAGCAGGGCGGGAAGCTCGGACCTGCAATGCACAGCCCACAGTCACTCAAAAGAGGCTAACGGTGGCTGAGCTGGGGAAACTAATTCTGTTACAGCCACTTCTTTCCCTGGATCACTGTGCAAGACTCTGGCTCATTAAACAATCAGAAACTGGAGTCTCTGAGCTCAGAGTCTGCTCCATATTCTAGCACAGTGGAGAAGCCCAGACAATTCCAGAACCCACCATTCTCACATTCCTTACTTGTCCTGCTATCACAAAACATTAGGGACAGTGGCAAGGAGGTGTGGTCCCCTCTGTGGGGTGCCACCTCTGACTTCATCCTGCTGATCTCTGCCTCCCTCGTCCCCTCGTGCTCACCACCACCAAGAAGTTACCCAAGAGCCACTTACATTTCTCACAAATATCTGGCAGGCCTTCCTGGCCACCCCAGGAGCATGGCCTCCAGCTCCACCAAAGGAGCCTGCGAAGCTTCCTCCAAAGTTGCCACGCTCCATCTCGATGGCACGGTCAAAGCTGGCACCGCCACCGCCACCCATGGCCAGGCCCATGCGCTCGATGCCAGCGCCCAGGGCCGGGCCCATGGCAGGGCCCATGCGCTCAAGGCTGTTGGCACCCATGCGCTCCAGGCCCATGCGCTCCAGGCTGTTGGCGCCCATCCGCTCCAGGCCCATCCGCTCCAGGCTGTTGGCGCCCACCCGCTCCAGGCCCATCCGCTCCAGGTTGTTGGCGCCCATGCGCTCCAGGCCGGTAGCCATGCGATCCATCACGGGGCCCATGCGCTCCAGGCCAGCCCCCATACCTGCGGGCACCATGCGCTCCATGCTCAGGCCCATGCGCTCAATGGCAGGGCCCATGCGCTCCACGCCAGAGCCCATGCGCTCAATGGTCTGGCCCACACGGTCGATGGGAGCGGCCATGCGCTCGAGGCCGAAGCCCATGCCGGCACCCATGCGCTCCACGCCAGAGCCGATGCGCTCCATGGTCTGGCCCATGCGCTCAATGCTGGAGGCCATGTGGTCGAGGCCCAGCGGGCCCATGCGCTCGATGCCAGAGCCCATGCGCTCCACGGAACCCATACGGTCCATGACCAGGCCCATGCGCTCGATCTCAGAGCCCACACGATCCATGCCGTGGCCGAGGCCTGCGCCCATGCGCTCCATGCCGGCACCCCCGAGGCGGTCAATGCCAGGACCCATCCTCTCGATTCCAGGGACGCTGCCTCCACCTCCACCTGAAACAGGGACACAAAACAGTGAGTGCCAAGAACTTCTGTGTGCATGTGCACAACATGCCAGACCACTTCAGCTCACGGGCACAGATCAGGGGTAAAGGCCCGCCATAATTTACCATTAAGACACCCCTCGAATGTGACAATAGCTACAGCTGAGTGCTGGGTGCATGGGGGCCTCACAGCATTCTCTCTGCTCTATGCCACAGCTCAGATTTCTATAACACAACTCCCCTGCATGTGCCTGTGAGGTGCTAGTATCTGTGACAAGCTTTGTAAGCCATGGATGTCAACTGCTGAGACCTGAGGTTTCTCCATCAGCAGACACTGAGAAATGCTCCAGGGGGAGGCATGGACATGCCCCACTCAGAGGGCCATCCAGGCTCATGAAAAGGAGTGACGTGGAGGCAAGTCAGAGTCACTCCCACTTGTCTGCTCCCACCCTGTCTCCTAGGATGCTCTGCTGGGGGCCAATCCAGCTGCATTTCCTCAGCACTTCCAGGGTACAGAGAAGAGATCTGCAAAGGTAAAGAAAACATACACCAAGAGAGATCCTCTGTGTACAAATGCACACAGCTGGCCACTTCTGGGGACCTTTTTGTTAGGGAAACCAAATGACTTGCTAGCTTTGGAAAGATGTCGATGGCACTGCAGAGTTAGCTCTGGCAGCGGCTGGGGTCAGTCAGCAGAACGAAAGGACCCCAACTGGTGGTGCCTCCAACTCTGGACAGGAAGGGTCTGGCTCCATCAGTAAGGCCACCCCTTTCCACATGCCAAGCTCAGAGTTCCTCCCCCAAATGCCGCTGCCTGGCTCTGAGGGTGGCTGTCAGCCACGAGCCAGCCTGTGACTGATCCAAGGAGCTAGTCCAAGATACTAATTCAAAAGAAAACTCAGCAGTTTCTCTAACTGGCTCTCTAACTGACCATGGCCGAGTGGCTCTGCTGCTCCTTGCCTGCTTCCTTAGCTGCCCAGCAGCACACTGGGCAGCAAAAAGCCCAACTTGAAGAATGGAAGATTTTCAGAGGGGAGAGGTCTCAGAAGCTAACCAACTTCCCCACAGTAGAAAGAACCTAGTGAGAATGGGCACTTTGCCCAAAGGCACCAGAAATGAGGCAACTCCCAATGCCAACTGCAGCAAAAAACTGGGAAAAAATGGTGCCAGTGTGGAGCTCCAGAGCAAGCCCAATACAGAAGTCAGCAGGGAAGATGCCAAGACACTCAGAGCCTTGAGAAAAATCAGGCTAAAAAGTACAATTAGGCCGGGCGTGGTGGCTCACACCGGTCATCACATAACTCTGGAGATGTGCAGGTCACTTGAGACCAGGAGTTCAAGTTACTGGGCAATATGGCAAAATTCCGTCTCTACACAAAACACAAAAAATTAGCCAGGCCGGGTGATATGCGCCCGTAGCCCCAGAGTTGCTTGGAAGGCTAATGTGGGAGAATTGCTTAGGCCTGGGAAGTCCAGGCTGCAGTGAGCTGAGATTACGCCATGACACTCCAGCCTGGGAGACAGAGCGAGACTGTCTCCAAAAAAACCCCACAAAGAATATTTTGTTCTAAGCGTCCAAAAAACTGTGTATTCATGAAAGGTGCAGAACAGAATGTTTCCAGCACTCATCACTGGGTGTGGGGCTTCAGATAATACTTTCTTCCTATTTTCCTACTGAGTACATGTATCTATTTTAGTAAGCATTTATTACATTTCTTCTACTTACCAAGTAGAAGGAAAACATTTACTTTTAGGAATTTATAGTGTGGAAAACAAAATCCCCAAGTTCAAGGTACCCTGACAATAAGGATGGTCAGCCTGTGCAGAGCCCAGGCTTCAGTACTCTTTCACACATATTCCCTCTCCATAGCGTCCCTGAGGCAGGTACTATTACACTCCCATTTTACAAATGAGCGCTATGAGAAACAGGTTCAGTGACTTGCCAAATGTCACACAGCTAGAAAGCAGCAGAGCTGGTCCCACCCCAGGGAGTCTGTGTCAGAGCCCGTGCTTCTCACCACTAAGCTCTATGGTCCCCAGCGATAACAGCCTATGCTAAAAAAAACAAAACATCAAACTAAGTGGTTCCTACCTCCTCCCTGCTTTGCAATGATCTCTCCTCTCTTCAGTGCATTACTTAGGATTTCTAAGGAAATCAGGAAGAAAAAAAAATTAGCCAAATTTCTCTATGGCAACAGAAATGTGCTCATTACAGAAATACTACTAATAAAAATGAGAAGAAAAAGGGAAAGGGGTTGAGAAACATACACACACAGACAAGATCATTATACAGAGAACTAGGAAGTCCTTGCTGCTGGTCACGATACCAAAACCCCAGGGAGCTCCAGGGTCCGAGGCCCAGAGTGGGGGATCACCTGAGAACGCGCCCGGCACAGATGGGGCCGTGTACATCCGTGAGCTGAGAGCCAGAGCAAGAAGGGGGCCATCGGGTCTTGCTCAGCGGCAGTTTTCTAATTCTGGTCCAGGTTCTCAGGACTGAGGCTTCCTTGCCTCACCTGAGCTGGAAACTAAGCCCCCAGCTCCACCCCAGGCAACTTCTTGTTCCGAAGACTGCCCAGCATCACCCACCTGAAGCCCACATTTGTCCACCCAGAGGCACCTCTTGTTATGACAGAGCAAATTAAGGCTGCAGCTCCGTGGACAGCCTCAACGCTGAAAGCCCCCATTACCTAACAAATGAGCTCTGCACGGAAATCCTTGAGGAGCATGCCAGTCCTGCCTGAAATGAGCTCCGTGTGCTGTGCTAAGCAATAGATAAGGTTTCAGAAAAATACATCAATGCACCCCCTGCCAAGTGACCCAAACACAATGCTGCTGCTCACTTACCCATGGCTCACCCACACATCATTAAGGTTTGTCTGATGCTATCATAGCGTTACCTTTCCAAGCTTCTGGTCAGTCTTTTGCTATGTAGAAGACACGTGTACCCACCTGCTCTGGTCTCAAAGTATATGCTCGGCAACCTGGACACTGGCCACCAGGTACATTTCACTTTATGACTGAAGCCACACAGGCATTAACACCTGTCCCATGGCTGCGCATGTTCACGCCTGTAATCCCAGCACTCTGGGAGACTGAGGTGGTTGGATCACCTGAGGTCAGGAGTTCAAGACCAACTTGGCCAACATGGTAAAATCCTGTCTCTACTAATAATACACAAATTAGCAGGGCATGATGGCGGGTGCCTGTAATCCCAGCTACTCATGAGGCTGAAGTGAGAAATATCACTTGAACCCACAAGGTGGGGGCTGCAATGAGAGGAGACTGTGGCACTGAACTCCAGCCTGGGCGACAGAGTGAGACTCTGTCTCAAAACAAACAAAAAAAAGAAAACACCTGTCCCCCACACAGCTGCTTCTTATATCCCAACTGCCCCAGGAAGAGGTAGGAAAGTTCACCAAGAGACACAGACTTCAGCCTACCAGCAGGTACAGTTCACTCCCAGGACGCCTGCAATCCTGCCCAGCGTGCCTGAGCAGAGGCTGGCTTTCCAAAGATAGCACCTCGACCAAGCTTGTCCAACCCACCTTACTTTGCTGTTATTCTGTTTTGGGCTTTTGGCAGCAAAGCCATGGTTTTTAGTTTCTGTCTCTAGTGATAAGCAGAAAAGAGGGATGAGGAAGGGGCTATACTAACTCAACCAGAAACAAGCTAAGAACCTATGATTATATTCTCCTCTGGACGCCCCTGACCTAGATCAAGCTTTCAACTAACACACCTCCAAGACACCTGCAAAAGCTTGCAACCAGCAAGCCACTGACAGGAAGAGAATTGCCAGATTCTCCTGTCAGCATTCACAGGCCTCCCTGCGCTGACCACAACTGAAGCCTGTTCTGCCCATGCTCCTCCCCTGCCCCACGTAGACCCTCACCTCCAACCTCTGCACCCAACGCCGCCAGCCACTCTATCTGTACACACCTACTGCCTGTGCCAAGCCCACTCAGTCCCCAGCCCCACAGCAGATCTGGTGTTCTGAGCAACAGCAACTGGGAACCCACGTCCCCACCAGCGTTCTCACTAGGCCATTTGGATGCAAAGATCTCTGGCGCTGTTCCAAGTCACCCTTAGTATCACCTCGGCTGCACCTTGTCCTTGAAGGTCAAAGACCACAGATCTATCCAAATTTCTGAAGCAGAAAGTACAGTTGTTTGCACAAAGGAGCGCAAAGATCTACTGTCTCGGCACGGGAAGGGACACCAAGTAGGAAGGCACTACAGAAAGGAGTACCACCATGAAAGGAGTACCACCAACTCTCATGGCAAGGACACAGGAAAAAGAGACCAAGAATACAATCTTGGAAAAACCAATCCAACCACCCTGAGAATCTGACTACATCACTTTACTAATGTAGGTCTGATCATAAGCAGCAGCAGGATTCCAGGACAAAGAGATCCCATGGTACCAATCAGAAAGAAGGTGGAACTACAGCAGGAGAGGTGGCACCCTACAATGTTTCTATTCCAGTCAGGACAGGACAGTTTCCTGCGACCACATGAAGCGACCTCACAGGCAAGAAGCCCACATCCACCTCTCGGTGTGCCACTCATGTGCCACTGCAGGAAGTGGAATAAGGCGAGAGGTGCCACATAGTGGCAAGGAACTGAAGGTTCTGAGCAAGAAAAAGTAAAGTCACATGCCATCTATTCTTGCCACAGCTATCCTATCCACAAATTACTGTTTGCAGCCAAATGGTAGTGTTTTAAAATATATATATTTTTAAATACACCACTAGGGCCTGGTGTGGTGGCTCACACTTGTAATCCCAGCAATTTGGGAGGCTGAGGTGAGCGGAACACGAAGTCAGGAGTTTGAGATCAGCCTGGCCAACATAATGAAACTCTGTCTCTACTAAAAAGACAAAAATTAGCCAGGCGTGGTGGCACACACCTGTAACCCCAGCTACTCAGGAGGCTGAGGCAGGAGAATTGCTTGAAACCAGAAGGCGGAGGTTGCAGTGAGGCAAGAAGATCACGCCACTGCACTCAAGCTGAAGTGAAAGAACAAAACTCCGTCCCTTTCAAAACAACAACAACAAAAATACACTGTTGGCCAGGCATAGTAGCTGCTGCCTGTATACCCAGCACTTTGGGAGGCCAAGGCGGGAGCATCACTTGAGCCCAAAAATTTGAGACCAGCCTGGGCAACATACGGAGACCATGTCTCTACCAAAAGGTCAAAACATTAGCAGGGCATGGTGGCATGTGGCTGTGTTCCTAGCCACTGAGAGGCTGAGGTGGGAGCCTGCTTCAGCCCACTACATTGAGATCAAGCCCACTGCACTCCAGCCTGGACGACAGGGCAAGACCCTGTCTTAAAAGAAGAATCAGCCAGGCGCAGTGGCTCACGCCTATAATCCCAACACTGAGAGGCCAAGGCGGGCAGATTACCTGAGGTCAGGAGTTCAAGATCAGCCTGGCCAACATGGTGAAACCCCATCTCTACTAACAATATAAAAAATTAGCTGGGCATGGTGGCAGGTGCCTGTAATCCCAGCTCCTCAGGACGCTGAGGCAGGAGAATCACTTGAACCCAGGAGGCAGAGGTTGCAGTGAGCCAAGACTGTGCCATTGTACTCCAGCCTGAGCAACAGAGCAAGACTCCATCTCAAAA